TGTTTAATTAGCTAATTTGTGCCAAGGGTGATGTGGTATGTCATATTTGGGAGCTGAATTCCTCTGCATGGAAGAACTATATATGGGAAAGAGGAGAGAAGTATGCTTTCCCAGCTGTAGTGGACAAACTGTTTTTCAGGGCAGAACTCCACCACTTATAAAGTAGTTTTGAGCAATTGTTGGCAGCTGGTGAATGTTGAATATATTTGCCAAACTATAAATATCTGGTCTGGAACCATGAATGTCCAAGAAATACTCTTGGGAAATTAAGGGTTTCCTTAGAGTAATAGGAAAACCAGGTTTTCCTTAGGTAGTTATTTTGAAGCATTAAGAGCATCATTTATAATCAATACAGTTTGACTAAATATCCATTGTACCTGAATATCATATTCATATATATCTTATTTTAAGTTGACTTAATTCAGATATTAAAAATTAACAGAAAACAACTTCTTAGGACTTGAAGAGTCTGTAATTCTTCAGTCACATGCAGTAGCAGTTAAATTGAAACAAGGAGTTAGAATTATATTCCAGTCACATAGAGATGTGCTAAGCAACAGCCATTTACAGCCGTAAACTTGTGACATTTCAAGGCCAATGAGAATTCCCAGATCCATAAATAACCACTATAGCCTATAATAGCAGTCAAATTAAATAGGTACCCCAGCATGAGGAGAAGTGAGGAAGGCCCCACTGGCCTGCAGATGGTAGGAAGTTGATCAGGCTCACTCTCCATGCACTAGACTGGCCGATTCCTGTATTGGTTGAAGGATGACTCCATGTGTGCCGTGGATCTTTAGGTTTGCTTGTCAACACATGGAATGTTAAGGGTGCACTGTAGTTGGTAGTGTTGCCGTCACCTGTGATTCTGGAACCACATGTATTAGCTATCCTTCTCTACTGAAATGCTACTGCTGCTGATGCTAAGAACGGCTAACATTATTGAGTGCCCAGCATGTGCCAGATACTGGCAGTTCTATGAGGGTAGGTACTATTAGCATTCCACTTTAGAAATCAGGAAACTGAGGCTTAGGTATAATAGCAGCTTATTTAAGGGTACACAAATGTGTGCATGACAGTTTTGCCTAGAAATGAGATTAGTAAAGCCAGCAGAAATAAATACAAATCTGTTTTGTAAAAGGTCCTAATTAAAATATTCTTAACTGGAATCTCCTATGCAGAAATAGTAAGACATTATATTTTCTAGGTAATATTAAGGTGGTTATCCTTGTTTGAAAAGTGCTGATTATTTCTACCTGGAGAAGGTAGACGTAAGACTACTATATTGGACTTCCCTGTGGTAATTCTGGGAATTAAAGCAGTGGCAATGGGACAGAATGGGGAGTTGACAGGACTTGGTGCCCGATGTGGGGATGACAGCACAGCAGCAGTCTAGAGTGGCACTTGGGTGCCTAGCTGGGGCCAGACAGTAGGGTTTTTGATGTACTTCACCTGGGATTGGAAATAGGGAGGGGCAGGAGGGTGAGGGAGAAAAATGGGTTGCATTTTGAGGGATGTTTGTGATATGCAGGTAGAAATAAATACTAGGCGGTTGTCTATATGGGCTTCGAGCTTAGAAGAACAGTATGGGCTGGAAATAACTTTTTGGCACTTTTTAACAGGTATTACTTAGAACTGTGAGTGTGGACTTTGATCTAAGCTGTGGTGGTGGTGGTGGTGGTGGTAGTGATGGTGTGTGTGTATTTTGAGCTATAGAGGGAGGGGATTAGTCACTCCATGACTTGCCAAGCTGATTGTTTTCATCCACACATTGTTTCTCAACCCATTCAATTTAAAAATTTTAAGAGTTCTTATTTGAATGAATGTGGAGAAATAAAACATGCCAGTCTTTTGTCTTTCCTTTTTATTACTGAGGATCAAAAATGTACTGTTACATATTCATAATTTTTATTGTAAGTATTAAGTCTGTGCATAATTAGCTCCTTTACAGAGAAGGCTGCACAGGAATAAATGCTTGGTTAATTTACCCCCAACCCCTAACAATTTATTATGAAAAATTTTAAACACACAGAACCATTGAAAGAATTACTCAGTGAAAATCTATATACCCACAATCTAGATTCTACCATTAATATTTTATTATACTTGCTTTGTCACGTATTTATCTAGCCATATGTAAAATTTATTTATTTTGATGAATTTCAAACACTTATTTCCCAAGTATTTCAGTATATAGCTGGAGTTCAGTGATACAGTTTTTTCCCTTTTGTGGTAAAATATATACAGTGAAATGCACAGACCATTTAGGTGAGTATTGACAGATGCACACACCTGTGTAACCCAAATCTTTTTCAAGGTACAGAACATTCCGGGATGATGGCAAGGTTCTCTAAGCCCTTTCCCATGTCATCCGCATTTTCACTGCCTTCCTCCCCTATAGACAACCACTGTTCTGATTTATTTCCACTGTAGATTAGTATTTCCTGATCCAGAACTTCATCTATTAGGAATCATGCAATATACACTCTTGGGTAAGGTTTCCCTCACAGTGTAATGTTTTTTGCTCTTCCTCTGTGTTGTTGTATGTATCTGTTATTTTTTTTGTTCAATCGTATACCATTGTATGAATATACAATGATTTATCCATTCTGTGGATGGATACTTGGGCTGTTTCCAGTTTGGGGCAGTACCTAGCTTTGGAATTAAAATGTCAAGGTAAATGGATGTTTAGTTCTATATATTAAAAAAAAAACAAACAAAAAACGGGAGGGTATAGCTCAGTGGTAGAGCGTGCACTTAATGTGCATGAGGTCCTGGGTTCAATCCCCAGTACCTCCATTAAAAAAATAAATAAAATAAAAATAAATAAACCTAATTACCTCCCTCCACAAAAGAAAAACAAAAAACCACCAAATTGTCTTTCAAAGTTGTTGAACAACTTTGTATTTCCATCAGCCGTGCATGGGAGTTGTGGCTGCATCACATTCTAGCTATTCTGGTGGGTGGGTAATGACATCCTGTTGTGCTTTTAATTTGTATTTCCCTGATGGTTAATGATGTTTAGCACTTCCACATGGATTTACCAACCATTTACATATCATGTTTTGTGACATCTATGCACATTATTTGCCCAGTATTTTATTGGTTGTCTTTAATTGTTGAGCTTTAAAAATGCATCCTGGATACATGTCTGATACATGTTTTACAAGTTTTTGTTTTTTTCCTCATCTTTGCCTGCCTATGCAGAAACTCCCTTCCTCCCTACTTTCTTTCCTTTCTGTAGCAACTTTATTGAGATATAATTCATTATGTAGGCATGATTGCCTACATCACTGGCCATTGGGGAGTGAGACCAGAGGTGGAGAAAGGGTGGGACTGAAAATTTTTATCCTTAGGCCATGGCTTGGTATTTCTGGCACCCAGCCCCCATCCAGAAGCCTAGAGTCATTCATTAGTATGCCGAAGACTCTCTTACCACTTGAGAGATGCCAAGGGTTTTAGGAGCTCTGTTCCAAGAACTGGGATAAAGATCTAGTTTTTTTTTTTTTTTTACTTATACTGCAGAATGTGTCTCTAGTGAGATGAGGTCCTCAGGTGTGTGGAAAGGAAAGGAAGGACTTAACTTAATCACCGTGAGTCCCATTGGGCAGTGCCGTCCCGTCCTGACTGGGCCTTGATGTGGCTTCTCTGAGTGCTAGACGCCTTCTAGAACTGCAGAGTTATTTGGGCTTAGTTTGTATCTTCACAGCTTGCCACATCAGCCGCATGGCTATTACTGCTCTCCAGTAACACCTCAGCTCTTCTTACCTGCATCGTATTTTTTTCCTTCTTTTAATCTTGGTTTCTCTTGGGGCTTCTTGGCTTTTAGAGTTGGATTTGTATCCTTAATACCTCATTTTGAAGGTTTTCCATTTTCTTTAGAAAACTAATCAACCAATTTTTACATTTTGGGCCTTTGGCTACTTTGATATGTTCATTTAGAGATGTCTGGGGGAGAGGGTATAGCTCAAGTGGTAGAGTGCATGCTTAGCATACACAAGGTCCTGGGTTCAATCCCCAGCACCTCCTCTAAAAATAAATAAATAGACCTAATTACCTGCCCTCTCCAAAAAAAAAAAAAATTAAGAAAGTGTGTAGAGATGTCTTTGTTTCTATGGTTATAACTTTCCCAGAGGAGTTGAAATGTCCAGACATTTGGTTGACGGGTTAAATGGTTTATATATATCTTGATTAATTAAACACTAGTCAAAGCTATTCAGTTAACCATGGGCTTCAGTATTTGGAATGTCTTCAGCAACCCAGTGTATAGCAATGGGGAAGAAAAAAGTGGAGGCAGAAGTTGGGACGTTATATTTCACTTTCCTGGTTTTAGATTTCTTACATACTTAACTTGTTTTTTTTTGGCGCATGAAGTGATCTAATGTACAAATAGGGTTTTAACTATTGCTTTAGCTTGTACGATCCCATTGGGATCGTAGAAGATTATTATGAAGAGAGATTATTTCTTGAACCTTGGGAAAAGTCATGTATGCCCCAAAATAATTTTTGAAAACTGGAAAATACTTTTGTGTATTAATTTACAGATTTGTTTATTGAATTATTACTTACAATTAGTAGTAAATTTGTTTCTTGGATTGTATATCTTAGCTTGTTTCAATGTAATCTTTCTGTAGGGTTATGTAAATGTTGCCACTTAAGTATTTCTGTTACGAGTGATGAACTTGTAGTTGTATTCAGTTTAATGAATGTATTAGATACTCAGATTTAGAAGAAAACATTTATATTGCTTGTCTAAGTGCTCTTTGTGGATCCTGACCTCCTTCAGATCCCTTATTACTGTTCACTTTTTTGTCTGTCTTCCCCATTAGACTCTACCTGTAAGGGCAGGAAGCCTCTGTCTTGTTCACTGTTTTTTCTGGCACCCAGTAAAGCACTAATTGTTGACTGACTGCTAGGTTAGCTAACTCTAGTTTATGTGGCTATGTGGGAAACTTGGCATACTTTAAATATCTTAAGCTTACTTTTTTTTCTTTTTCCAGTGAACAGAGTATCTGTCAGGCAAGAGCTGCTGTGATGGTTTACGATGATGCCAATAAAAAGTGGGTGCCAGCTGGTGGCTCAACTGGGTTCAGCAGAGTTCATATATATCACCATACTGGCAACAACACATTCAGAGTGGTGGGCAGGAAGATTCAGGACCATCAGGTAAGAGTCTATTAATTCTTAAAGTTATTTAGTATTACAGAAGGACTTGGTATATTCAGTAAAATAAAGTAGTGCTTTAAAACTATAATAAAAATACTCTCTATGAGAAAAACTGGATTTACCCTCTCACCCTTTTCACCTCTTATGAAGCTTGAATTTAGATGAGGATTTAGAACTTATTGTTCAAGAATATAAAGACGAGTTTTCCAGTTGTGAATATTCATTAGATCCTCTGGCCTTAATACTAGCTAGGCTTTGGAATCTAAAGGAAATTTAGGACAAACAAAAATGTGAAATACCATTTAAGTAGCAGATTGTATGTTTAAGGAATTTATTTCCCACCAAAGATATGGGGTATGAGACTAGAGGAAGGAGTTGAAAATGTAAATAGTTTCAGAAAATATTGTTACATTCATATATGATAGAAAAATTGTAGGTATTAAGCTGCTGGAATACTTAGGCTTTTGTAATTCATGTCTGGCATGACAACTAAGGTTTTGCTAATTCCCTGCGCTGAGTTTCTTAGAAAGGTGACTGGATTATCTGATTACTTGATTTCTTGAGCCTTCACAGATCAGAAACAGTAGATAGAGGAAAATGTAGATAGAGTCTTATTGACATTAAGTATATACTAGTAACAGTGAGGACTTTTTAAAGAATAGACTTACAAAATACTTTTGGTTCTGGTAAGATGGTGGAATCAACCAATGTTAAACATATGTAGGAGAAAGGTAACAAATTTCCAGCTGAGCTCTTACTATAGAAAGGTCGGTCCCTAAGTTTCCACTAGGTAATGTAACCAGATACTGCACCATCCCTGTATTTTGGGATGGAGATTGTGACCTGGTAATATCCAGGGACTTAGATTTGTTATATGCGCATGTACGGATTGTGGCCTCTGAGAGGCTGGGCTTTGAAACTGGTATCTCTGCATAAAGCTGAGACTCTTCAAGGGCTGCACACCATAAATGAAGAGGACTAAGAACAATCCTATCAGTGCAGGTAGGCAAAGGAGTTTGTTTCTGTCTGAACAGGTTTAGGAGCTCACCTGGAAAATGGGAGCCTCCAGCTTCACTTAGACTACTCCAGTCAAGAAATTAACAAACATTGGTTGCAGGCCAGTGAAACTCCTAGGGCACCTGGCAAAAACACATTCCTGTCCCAGAGAGGAGCTTTTAAAGAGCTGAATCAGTTTGCAGAAAGAGCAGTTCACTGAGTTTATTAGCAAGTTTACCTACTTAATAAAAACTGTCCCAGCCTGCCCCTCTTTGCCCTCCCAGGCTCCCTGTCTGTCCCTGTCTCCCCTGTGCCCCTGCCCCCATCCTGTTCTTTCTCCTCCCTAGCCTCCCTCCTTTTGCTCCGTGTGCCTGTTGCTCAGCCCTTCTCTGGTCTCCCCAGTCTCCGCACCACGGACTCTTGCTGCCCGGTTAGTATCCAGGTTGTCCTGAGTACTCTCTCTCCTCTCTGTCTTTCCTCCAGGCAGGTGTCCGAGACGTAAGATAGCCCAGAGACAAACTGAATATTCCCTAAGTTGCTATTATAGAGAAAAAATGAAAACTGGGCAACCAGAACTTTGTAGAAATTATTGAACATTTTAAACATGACAGTCCAAAACTAGTAGCTATAAAATAAATTTTTGGTAAATTGATAATTTGATATACTGATGAACAAACCTAAATGTATCTAAATGTTGGAAAAAAGAAAATGATTATTTAAGAATAATTGAATTGAATCATTACTCTGTACACTTGAAATGAATATATTTTATGTCAGTTATACCTCAGTGGAAAACAGAAAATTAGAAAAAAAGCTGTGTAAGTCAGGAAATTTCCGTATGGAGCACTGAAATTTTTATTCAGAAGAGAAGTAAACTATTCCACGACTTCTAACTTTTGACAAATGAAATGTTGCTTAAAATGTTTAGACATTTTAAAATACTCTTTTAAATAATTTGTGATACTAAGGTGAAATAGTTATGAAGATTAAAAAATGTTTTAAAAAAGCCCCCCCAAAACTGTAGACCTGAGTGGCAAGGTACTGTGTATAGAAGAAACCTGTGGAATGTCTAACCTGTCCTTAGATGGACAAACATCTTTTTTTTTTTTTTCATTCATCCCTGCCCCACTCCCTTCTGTGTTCTTTTTTTGTTTTTTGTTTTTGTCTTTGTTTTTGTTTTGGGGGGGCTCCTTTTAAAAATTGAAATATAGTTGATTTACAATGTTGGGTTAATTTTTGAGGTATAGCATAGTGATTGATTTATACACATGTGTTTTTTAAATTTTTTTTTTAGATTCCACACGTAAGTAAAATTGTAGAGTATTTCTTTTTCTGTCTGACTTATTTCAGTTAGCATAATACCCTGTAGGTAGATGGATAAATCTTAATGGCATATAATAAGGAAACCCAAAGAAAGCAGGAAAAAAAACACTGAAAATAAAAGAAAAAAAGAGGGAGGGAGTCCAGAACATTTACAGACAAAATCTGAAAACCTTTAAGCTATTACCTGTTTTGTACAAACTGTTCTAAGGAATAATATTTCATGAGGCTAGTATAATTTTAATATCTAAATCACAGAAGAACAATTTGAGAGAGGAGGATTATAAGCACGTTTCAATTGTGAACATTGATTCAAATATAGAAATCCTCAGTACAGTATTAGCAGACCAAATGCAACAGTGTATATGGGGGGGAAAGAAAGAGACCATCTCTCGACCAAATAGGATTTATTTCTCTTTATCTCAGTAATGTAAGGATATTTAACATTAGATAACCTATTAATGTAACTTACCAGGAGAAAAGCTATAAGAAACGAGATTCAGGGAAAATTTCATAATCATTTTTATTTAGCATTGCAGAGGAGGTAACCTAGAGCTATGAAGATGAAGAAATAGAAGTTATAAGGATCGAAAAGGAAGAAACAGAGCTGATTCTATTCAATGATGATGTAATTGTCTACATTAGAATGTCCTGAGTATCTGCAGATAAAATTATTAGAACTAATAAGATTGTTCAGCGAGATCGCTGGATATAAGATCAGTATAAAAAAATCAATAGCAGTTTTGTATAACTAGTGGTAAATAATTTGAAAATGCAGTTTTATAAAGATGCTGCTTAAAGTAACAAAAATGATAATGTACCTAAGAATAAATCTAATAAATAATTGGTTCCCTTCCATTCCAGATTACCTTGTTACATTTCTTACTGCTTATCAGTCTATCCTAAGTGGAAACATATTGTTATAATTTATTAAACAACACCTAAACTTTCTATAGTAAGTGGCATTAAAAAAAATCACCCACCATTTATTTGTAAAATTGAATACATACAAATTATATCCTTATATATGAAAAGCTACCATCTTTCTTCTAAATACTTAAATGCTCATTATGTTCTAGGCACTAATTGTACTTAGGTTTTATATAGGTAAATTCCTGACCTTGGAAAAACAATGCAGTAAAGAATGGGTATGTTAAGCCTGTGAGAAAAGAAGCACAGTAAGTTGTTTGTTGTGATAAATGTAAATTGTAGCACAATAAAGGCATAAAAGAATGATCAATTTGTTGAAAAGATGGGGAAGAAGATCATGGATGACTTTATAGGCAAGATAAGCTATTGAGCCAAGTTAGAAGGAAGTATGGATGTTCACTGCATGGTTTGATCTGTTATGATAAGGCTAAAAATGGATGGGTTTGCGTAGGATGGAAATCACCACTAACCTAGATTCAAACTCTTTGGGTTTGAAGTATTAGGATTATGAAGAAGTCCAAACCTGGTAACATCCTTAGTGAAGATCCAATAAGCAGTTATTATTAAATGAAGATATATGCTTCCCCCTTTACTTTTAAAGTTTTTTGAGATTATTTACAGCATTGTCTATCCTTGAAAGTTATAAATGAATGAAATAATTTGTTCAAATTTTAAAGTTTCTGTATTGGAAAAAGTGAACCAGTGATTTAGATAATATGATTTTGATTCTAGTAATATTTCCCTCAACTTTTTCTGATATACTGTTAGTGGACAGTTGAAGAAGTGAACATAGCTATCTTTTTTGCCTTCCCTTTGAAACTATTTGCCAAGCAGGAATATAGATTTACCTTAAAATGGGGTTTACAATTTTATGATAATTTTTTCTGGTAAATTTATGAATTTTACTATTCTAGATATTTCAAATAATTGGAATCATACAATATTTGTCCTTTTATGTCTGGCTTCTTTCACTTAGCGTAATGTCTTAAGTGGTCGTCATATTTTAAAAATGTCATTGGGGTATTGATGGATGAAGTAATTTAGATAGAGCCTCTCTCTCTGAACTGAAACAATTGGACAGAGTATTAAAAAGAAAAGTGTCTATTTGAAGAGCTTACATGACAATGAAGAATTATGGGCCCATGACCTAAAAGAAGAAAGAACCAGAAAAGTGAGCCCAGCTCTGGATCTCTGTTTACCTGGAAGCATGTGTAAGTTTTGAAAGTGAGGTCTGAGAAGCTGAGCAGAGGTTTGGCAGACTCACTGGACTAGTAGAACAAAACTTAGAAGTTAGCTAATCAGGGGAGGGTTGTCTGGATAATTCTCCAGGCCATGATTTGGGACCCAGAAGCCCCATACCTTAGGGAAGAGGTTTGACTCGTAAGTACAAAGGTCTTTTTTAGGAACTGATTCTCAGCCTCTAATCACTATAATCTCTTTTGGATTAAGGTGATTTGAGACTGTTAGTTTCCCTAGCTGCTTGCCAGAAACAAATGTAAATCTTCCCTGGAAAAACATAACATATCATTATAGGCCTCAAAATTTCCTGATAGTTGTCTATAGACAATGTCTGACATTCAGTTCAGATAACCAGCATATGAGGAACGGTAATAGGACAGATCTACTGGGAATCCAGTTAATGGAATTATCAGAAATTGACTTTAATTACTGCTTAATATGTTCAAGGAAATAAAAGACAAGACTGAAAATTTCATTAGAGAGCTGGAAACTTTCAAAAAGGACCAAATGGAAATTTTAGAATTGAAAAATAAAATAACTGCTATTATAACTCAGTGATGGGTTTTACAGCAAATTAGAAACCTTTAAAAATAAGTAGTAAATTGGAATATAGCTCAGAAGGGAATATTCAGTCTGAAGCTGTGATGTTCTGAGAGAGAAAAATATGGACATATAAAAAAGAGCTTAAGAGACATACAGAGTACAGTAAAAACATATAAGGTATATGTAATTGGAGTCCCAGAGGAGAGGAGAGAATGGGGCAGAAGCAATAATTGAAGAGCTAATAGTAAACAAGAATTTTCAAAAGTAATGAAAGGACATCAACTTAGAAATGCTGTAAATACACAGCAAACCACATATAAACCCATTATATTAAAATCATGGTAAACTGAACTCATAGGTGAAACTCTTAGAGCAGTCAGTGAAAAAAGGATGACTTTAAAGAAGCAATAATAAACTGTCAGCTGACTTCTCCGTAGAAACAACAAATGCTAAGAGGCAATGGATTTCAGAATACTGAAAGAAAATAAATGAGCCCTTAAAGTTCCAAAAATAAAGGTGAAATAGAGACTTGTTCTTAAAAACAAAGATGGAGATAATTCATCACCAGGAGATCTGCTTTGTGTCCTCTCCCCCTGCTTTTTTTTTAAGGGGGAGGAGGTAATTTATTTATTTACTTTATTTATATTTTAAGTGGAGGTACTGGGGATTGAACCCAGGACCTTGTGCATCCTAGGTAGGCAGTCACTCTACCACTGAGCTATCTCCTCCCCCAGGAGATCTGCTTTGAAAGAAATATTACAAGGTGTTCTTCAGGATCAGAAATGGTCCAACAGAAGCTTAGAAAGAGGGCAGAAGGAATAAAAAGCAACAAAAGTGTAAATATTGGATAAATCTTAAATGATCATCAACTGTGTAAGACTAGTAATAATAATGTTTTGTGAGGTTTAAAATACAAATAGATTAAAATACCCAGTAAAAATAGGGGAGGACTCCCAAGATGGGCATTAGAAAAGGGGAGTGTTATTGGAGACAAAAGTGTTATAAAGCCCTTGTATTATTGAAGTAAAGGTAAATGTGTTGGTTTTTATTTGTCTCTGGTAAGTATAAAATGCCTGTTGTAATCTCTAGGGCAACCACTAAAACAGCAATGAAAACATGTATAACTAGCAGACTAATAGAGGGGACAGTAATAAATTCTAAAAGAAGGTATAATAGATTTAGACCCAAATTTATACATAATTTACATTAAATGTAAATGGACTGAACACTGCAATTAAAAGGAGAGACTGGCAGATTGGAGAGACTAGCAGTTGGATAAACAACACAAAACTGACAATCAATATAAAATTACAGCTGCACACAAAGGACTGAGAATAGCCAAAGCAATAATGGGGAACAGCAAAGGAGGACATACCTAGTGGCTATCAAGACTTACTGTAAAGCTGTAATAATTAAGACATGCTAACGTTGGCTCAAGGACAGGCATATTGACCAGTAAAATAGAGGCGTTTAGACAATTTATGAAAAAGGTAAACCTGCAGCAAATTAATAAATGGTGCTGGATCAATTGGAGAGCCATAGGAAATAAAAAGGAACTTGAACCATGTATCATACGAAAGGCACAAATCAATTTCAGTTAGATTGGAGATGTAAATATGAAAGTTAAAACTATAAAGCTTCTATAAAGTGGTATAATATTTTCATGTCTTGGGATTGAGAAACATTTCTTAAACAGGTTATAAAAAGCATTAATTATAAAGGAAAAGTTTGTGAATTTGGACTGAATGAAAGTTAAGAACTTCTGTTCAATCAAAAGACACCATGAACAGAATGAAAAGGCAAGCAACAGAATGGGAGAAGATATTTACAGCACATAACCAACAATGGGATCATGCAGAATATATAAAGGACTCTTACAAATCAGTAAAGAAAAAGATGGACAACTGAGTAGATAAATGGGCAGGAGATTTAATTTAAGCAGGTATTCATGAAAGATCTCCAGGTAACCATTAAAACATGAAAAGGTGCTAAATCTCAGTAGTAATCAGGGAAATGATGTAGTCCTCATACCCAGCAGAACTACTGAAGTAAAGACTGACAGTACCATTTATAATGTGGCACTGTGTGTGTAGCTGTGTAAGCTGTTGTATACTGCTGTGGAAGTGAAATTTGATAGGGCCAATTTGGAAAGCTACTTGTTTTCTACTGAAGTTGAACATACGTATGGCTTGTGACAATTCCACCCCTGGTTATATGTCCAACAGAAGTGTGTGCTCATGTGAACCAAAAGACATTCTTCTGTAGGATGTTCATAACATCATTATTTTTAATAGCCCCAAACTACACATAATCCAGATGTTCATTAATGGGAAAAATGAACATGACTTATACAAGGGAATACCATAGAGCAATGGAAAAGAATAAACCACAACTGTATGCAACAAATAGATGCCTCTCAAACAATTTTGAGGGAAAGGGAGGAGATAAATTAAAATACATGTTGTTTAACTCCATTTGTATAAAATTCCCAAACCTACAAGCTGGTCAGTAATGTTAAAAGTGTGGCTAACACCTTTTGGGAGATAGGAGGAGTTAAGGAGGAGATTTCTGATGTTAATGTCCTAGTTTTTTTGTTTTTGTTTTTGTTTTTGTTTTTGTTTTTGTTTTTGTTTTTGTTAACATCCTGTTTTTTGATCAGGGTTTTGGCTACATGGGAGCATTCACTGAGATACATGCTTGTGTTTTATACACATTCTGAATTTATAATACTTTAATAAACATGTTTATGTATATTTAATGAAGAATATAGATTTTCCTTTTTTAAATATTTTTATTGAAGTATAGTCAGTTTACAATGTTGTGTCAGTTTCTGGTGTACAGCACAATGCTTCAGTCATATAGGAACATACATATATTTGTTTTCATATTCTTTTTCACCATAAGTTACTACAAGATATTGAATATAGAGAATTAGATTTTCTTTTGTTTTGCTGATTTACTCTTTTAAGGCCAGACCTTTGTAACCATCAGTCTAACCACCATCAGACTTGTTTCTGCAGACTAATTTTACCCTAGATGATTGTTTTAACAATTTTTTGCCAAGGTTTGTCAGGACCATGTTTGAATGAATATGTCGCATGAGTATTTGTTGACTTTGTTGATTTTGCCAGTTATTGGCTTGACTTTATAAAGAATTACTGTCTTTTAGGTCGTGATAAATTGTGCCATTCCTAAAGGGTTGAAGTACAATCAAGCTACACAGACCTTCCACCAATGGCGGGATGCTAGACAGGTGTATGGTCTCAACTTTGGCAGCAAAGAAGATGCCAATGTCTTCGCAAGTGCCATGATGCATGCCTTAGAAGTGTTAAATTCACAGGAAACAGGTAGGGTGTCCATGAGTTTACTTGTTTTCTTGAACTGAAGGGCCATGAATATGTTAAAGCAAATCTTTTCTGACTGACATCTAAAACATATATGTATTTGGAGTAATTCTTGAATTCCCATTGTTTTCTACAAAAATGTGAACTTTTTGTTTGTTGATGATAAACGTATGCTCTATAAGGATAATTTTATGAGACTGGTTAGTAGTTAGTAGTTTTTTAATTTCAAATTATTTTGTTGTATTTATCTTATCTAGAACCTCAGCTTTTGTTGCAAGGATATGAGGCCCAGAGCATATGCAGTGGATTGCGTGTGCATATTTATCATTGTTTCACTTTTTATGAAGAAACCCATGTTTTCTGAAACATGTTTTTTTTAAGCCACGACTGAGCCCCTGAACTTCAAGTAGAACTAGGTATCCTTCATCCTAGTAGATAAAAATTCAATTCTTAAAGTTGTTTAAAGATTTTAGGAGTGCCCTCAGGTGGTACAAGCCGTGAATTGCATCTCTTCTGATACTGTTACATGGTTTGCAGATGTGTAGAAATAATCCACTTTTAATTATATGTGTCAAAGATGAGCTTTGTTTTTATTTTGGCTTATTAAAGAATAGAAAAAAATACACCAATGTGTGGTTATTTCTTTGGGGAGATAAATTTTATAATCAGAAAATTAATGTTATAATAAAACAACACAAACATGATTATTCTTGGCTTTGTGTATTTAGTCATGACCTTAATGATATAAGCGTGCCATAAATACCATTTATTTATATAGTTCAACAGGAAGGGCTTAATATAGTTAGATTAAAATTTGATGTTTTGTTGAAGGTATAGATTTTCAAAATCTTTCATAGATACTTTAAATTTTATTTCTACCTTGCCCTAGTCTAAAAAGGATTGAAACATCTAGCCATGTGTTAGTCTATTTCAGATATGAATTTCAGGGCAAAAAGACACTTCGGAATCTTGCCAAAACTACCTTACTATGCCTATGGTGGTTTATATTAGGTTTTCTTTTGAGGAAATAAATATCTCTATAAGTAATTTGTATGTAACTCTCATATCTTATCTATTTTGAGAAAATAAATCACCAGAATTTCTCCTTGTTTGTCAGTTAGTCCAGAAAATAGCATAAAAAGTCTGCCTATATGTACAGACAGTCTTGTATGTAGATTGTCTCTAAGTCACTGTACTTTTCTTTTAGGCATCAGTATTTTGTCAGCGTTCTCCTATAGGTATAGAATTGCTTTTCTGTTACCATAGTTTTACCATAGGGAAGCAACTTGAATTGTGGTTTTTAATATCTTATTAAATAGATCAACTACATAATAAATAACTAAAGGACCAAAGTTTAGAGAGTATATGTATGACAGCACCATTTGGCTTCTCCACGTTTGGGACAATCTAACGTTATTTTTATTTCTAAGCCTTCAAAAGAGTATCCATTGATATTAGGGACTAAATGTTACTAATTTAAAGTGGTTGAGATTATTTTGTTCACCTTGTCATCAATTTTTCTTAACCAATTGGAAAAGATTGTTTTTATCAGTGTGTAGTCATATAGTTTGCTTTCAAAATGCAAATGCTAATTAATGTTTTTTTCTCCTGATTTTAATCTTGAAATTAATGAGTCTTAATGTGAAAAGACTCAATTACATTCTCTTTTGTAAAGTAATTTCCACATTATAGAAAGTTTAACAAATGGAAAGATCACCCATCATCTCACTAGCTATGCAAGCATTTTTGTAAGGCAGAAAAATTGAATAGATTCTTCTTAGATAATTTTGAATCTTTATTCTCTTCTCTGTCACAATCTCAACCTATCATACCATAGGCTGAGGAAAGAGAGAGAATGTGCAAGAGGTTGGTCCGCCCCCGCCATCTCCTTGCATCGTGACTCCGGTCAGTGGCAAAGAAACTTTTGGTTCTGTAGCTTTTTCATCAGAGAAAACAAAGCATATAAAATGGATGATGTTCCTAATAGTCTGATTTATTTAGAAAATGGCTGTTTTCATAAATTACTGTAGTTAAACGCTAATCTCTGGTTTTTGATAGCATGAATTGGTTTGCAATTGGAGGCATAGGCGGATGTAGATGCTGTGAATCACAAGTGTCCTCAGGAAAGGATATAATCTTTTCTATAGATCTCTGAAGTAGGGTATGTATGTACCCCACCCCAGTGTTATTTTGGGCCCACTCCTGTCCACCTCAACAAACATACGCAATAATGTCAGCTCTCATCTTGAACATACCTTCCCCTTCCACAGCTGTTTGCTTTGGGTTCATAGCCAATTCCTGCTAAAACTGCCTATTCTCTTCTGGCCAAAACCAAGTAGGAAAAGCTTAACTTGTATGTCCCCTCCCTAAACAAACAGTATACCCCATAAATCTCTGATCAGAAGCAAACGAAACGAACCTATTCATAAAGGTAAAGTAACTACAGCTATTTGTCATTTCTACTTCTTAATGTTTTACCGCTTTTTAAAACCATTTTTCCATATTGAATCCTTCTGGGTTTTTTTGTTTATTATTCATTGAATATTGGTTAATCCATCCTAATGGTTCTCAGGCTTTTTTAAGTTACGGATACCTTTGTTCAAACAAAATCTATTTCAGATTCTCAGTGTGTAAACAGACCAAATCAAACAAAAAAACAGAGCTTCTCTGATTAATGTGGTAGTCGGGAACCTACAACCACTGAGGCACCCATGTGGTTCCCTGGGGTAGGATTTGGAAATTACAACCCAACATTTTTGCCAAAATAAAAAATCACACAATTCTCCCTTCCTGTCTTCCTTGCCCTTCAAGTCTTCTAAATCTTCAGA